GCTAGCCTTGAGCTGAAGAGCGGAGGGACATCGCCCAGGCCCAGAGTTCAGGCCCCACAACTGGACCCAAAATAAAATAAAATAAAAATGACTAGTCTACCTTAAACTTTTCATCTTTCAGCTAAGAAGATTGGGGCAGAGGAGGAGAATTACAGTGTGACCATAGTGTGGCCAGGGTCACACTATAATTTGTAGCAAAATCTCAACTACATCCATATCTAACTTCTAGGCTAGTGTTTTTTCTTCAAGAACAAAGGGAATGATGTCAAGATGGCAGGATTATGATTGCAAGGAAGGACTAGAACTTTATGCCAGCTTGGGGCTCTTGTCCTTCTGAGCCCAAGGGAAACCAGACTTTGGGAAACAAGAATAGTTCCTGCTGGGTGCTGGTGGCTCACGTTTGTAATCCTAGCTACTAAGGAGGCTGAGATCTGAGGATCACGGTTCAAAGCCAGCCCAGGCAGGAAAGTCCATGAAACTCTTATCTCCAATTAACCACCAGAAAACCTGAAGTGGTGCTGTAGCTCAAGTGGTAGAGAGCTCACCTTGAGCTGAAATGCTCAGGGACGGTGCCCTCCCTGGTCCAGAGTTCAAGCCCCACAACTCACACACACATACACACACACACAAGTTCCTCATTTCCTTTTCTTTCTTTTTTCTTTCTTTCTTTCTTTTTTTTTTTTTTGCTGGCCTTGGGGTTTGAACTCAGGGCCTGAGCTCTGTCCCTGAGCCTCTTGGTGCTCAAGACTAGCGCTCTACCATTTGACTTCTTGTGAGTAGTTATCGGAGGTAAGAGTCTCGCGAGGACTTTTCTCCTCGGACTGGCTTCGAACCTTGATCCTCAAATCTCAGCCTCCTGATTAGCTAGGATTACAGGAGTGAGCCACCGGCGCCAGCCTCCTCTTCCGTTTTACTAACTTCTTTGAGTTTGGTCCTTCAGAAAATAAAGGACCAAGGAAAAGAGTGAGCTGGAAGTGTGGACATAAGTGTCTGAGAGGGACATTGGAGTAGAATGGGATAGAGTAAGATAGGGCTCCGGTGTGGCCCTAAGCCTACCCTTTTCCTCTTTCTCTACTCCTGACCCCTAGAGAGCCCTCTGATAACCTGAGTAGATGGGCAGGGCTTGGGCTCCTACATCTACTGAACTTTTCTATTTCCATGGCTCTTAAACTTCCCAGAGGTGGAAGGGCTTCCTCAGAAGGGGCTGGGAAGGTGGCTCAGCGGTAGAGTGCTTGCCTTGCATACATGAGACCCTGGGTTCGATTCCTCAGTGCCACATAAGCGGGAAAAGCTGGAAGTGGTGCTGTGGCTCCAGAGGGAGAGCGCTAGCCTTGTCAGGGACAGCGCCCAGGCCCAGAGTTCAGGCCCCACGACCGACAAAAACAGAACAAGACAAAAAAAACACCTCGCAGTGGGTATTTACAAAGGACCTCCATCCCTGAGGAGCCTTCTAGTTTATAGCACCGAAGAACTTTCCCAGGCGAGACCCAGTGAGGCCTTCTTGCATGCTCTCAGAACCGCCGGGCAGGGGGCTGGCTGCGCTCCCGCAGGCCTCGCTCCCAGGGTGAGCCCCTTTACAGCTGCGCATCCCCGAGGGCTTTTCCACTCGGGCCTGCCGGGAGTTGTAGTCCCATACCCCCGTAGTCCACAAGCATTGAACTACAATGACCAGAGTGCCCCGCGCTTCTCGCCCCCTTCTTTTTCAGCCTCGGGGACCTAGGAGGCTCTGTGAACCTGCGGACTGGGAACGGATATGGCGGCCACGCTGGGCAGCGGGGAACGCTGGACAGAAGGTACCAGGTCCTGGCGGGAGGGTGGGACAAGGCGGTGTTCTGGAATGGTCAAGGATGGGAGGCAAGACCCTGGATCTGAGGCGAAGGGATGGAGGCCTGCGAGAGGATGCTAATCCTGAGTATGGCTGGGGATGCAGTGGGGACGGCTCAGGGCAGAGGCCGGAGCCGGAAACAAGCAACGCCCGCCCGAGCAAGCTGGGGTGTTGGCCGGGAGCCCAGAATCTCCGGTGACGACTTGTTGCCTCCGGCCCCCTGATCCCCGCCCCCCGCCTCGGCCGTGCCCGCCAGGACCTGCGGCCGTCCCCACCCTCATCCACCTGCACCCGCCCGCTGTCGAAGTGACCCGTAGGCAAGGGACGGGCTGTATGGTTCGCTGCTTGCTTACAGATCCTATGTCCACAATTCCGCAAAACGGGTCCGTCTGACCCTCCGTCCGGGTTTGATCTTGTCCCGTTAGTCCTCATCAGAGCCAGCTGACCGTCTTTCTCCATCTTGCCAAAAGGCAGAAAGTACTGATCCAAGACATCCGTGTGTCTCGCATTATGCTTAGGCTGCCCGGGGATTTGACAGACATGAGCTCACAGAGCTGTCAGCCTATTCGGGTGTTGGACGGGTTAATAGCCAATTACAAAATAGGGCCAGTAAGTCCTGGACTAACACGGCAAGGTCAGGAATTTGCGAATCATGTTGTCACGGCATCCAGCACAACCGGGGTGTCAAGGCAGCAAATACTACATATGAAGGCATAAAGGATGTATTGAAGTTAGCCAGGCAGATTCATGGTGTTAAAGAACAGTGGGTAAATATTGAGAGATGGTAAGGACAAAGATGTTTTTAAAGCCTTTTCTAGAACCTCTAACAAGTGCTCTGGACTGTCTGGATTGCATTATTTAGGCCATTATGACTTAATGAATCCTCTCTCATTAAACTGTAACTTCTTTGTAGTTATTTACATCCTCCTGACGGATCGAGCCAAACATCTTTCCTTTTTTTGTCGGTTGTGGGGCTTGAACTCTAGGCCTGGGCGCTGCCCCTCAGCTCTTCAGCTCAAGGCAAGCACTCTACTCAGCGCCACTTCCTGTTTTCTAGTGATTTATTGGAGATAAGAGTCTCAGGGACTTTTTCTGCCAGAGCTAGCTTTAAACTCTGATCCTCAGATCTCAGCCTCCTGAGTAGTTAGGATTACAGGCATGAGCTACCACGCCTGGCCAAAATAATTTTTTTTTTTTTGGTCCGGTCATGGGGCCTGAACTCTGGGCCTGGGCGCTGTCCCTCAGCTCTTCGGCTCACGGCTAGCGCTCTACCACTTGAGCCACAGCACCACTTCCG